GAATATCCATATAACATAGTTGTAGTCAAGGAGATGTAGGTGGAAAAGCAAAGCCTCTCCAGAATGTCCTTTGCCTTTAGGCTTCTTGCCACTCAGTGTGTTCACTTCCTCCTGTCTAGAACACCGACATGAAACCCGGAGCGAAAACAGAGCTCATGAAACCCAGAGCTATCTTGTGACCCTGAAGTATAAGGCAAATGAATGAAACCCTCCATTAAGAATAGTAGAGATGAAAAGCCAGGATCTTTTGTTGGGGTGGGTGGGCACTGTCTAGGCTGGCTTTAACTGCATCATCCTCCAGACTCATTCTCTCTAGTTACTGGGCCTATAGGAATGCATTACATTCCTACATACCTGGCAAAGCCAGGATTTTAAGGATGTCATTGAACTGCCATAGTAACCCTAGATCAAGGGAATTTTGTTAAATCCTTATCTATTTGAACCACAACTGTAGACTTGTCTATTATTTGTGACAAAAGGCATTCTTGAATGTAACAGGCTAATAACAGGCAAACTAGGGATTCAAATGAAGGCCAAACATGACTCTAAAAATCAGAAGGCGGGGATATTAAGAAATAGACATTGGCATCTGGTCCTGCCAGTGGCATTTGCTGACCGGGTTAAGGTTCAGAGTCAGTACTTCCTCCCTAAATGGCATGCTAAAGACCATTTCCAGGCCTAGGTCTTGCCAAGGGATGGATGACAATGGTGGGACTTGGGTACAGGATAGGAGACAGAAGGGGGTCAGAAGTGGGGAATGAGGCAGAGGCTCAGTGGAAACTTGGGACCAGACCTGAGACTATCTCAAAGGGACAATCTGACACTAGACTCCAGGAGACAGGCTGGGTTTACTTTAAGTGTTCCCATCTTAGGATAGGTATAAGCTGAAGACAGGAGGAAAATTCCTCAGACCATGGAAGGAAGAGGGACCTCAGGATAGGATATAGGCAGCACCTGACAAGCTTAACTCAAGCTACTCTTCCTGACAGTCTTCTTAGATACACCCTTTATCACGTGCTCTTCTTTCCTGCTTTTGCCCATGGCCTTTTAAAAGACCTAGCTTTAACAGAAAGCCTCCTGTGTATCCATGCTGGCCTCTTTAAATGGCTCTCTCTTTGTCTCCTTACTGCCAGCATTTTGCTGTGGAAAACCTTTCCTTCCACCCTGTACTCTAAGTTGTCTTCTCTCCTGTCCAGTTTGAGGGTGCTCTTCCAGGCAGTGCTCTTCCCTCACCAGGCTTTAGGCCCCTCTGGTTTCAGCCTCTGTTGGGAGGTGCAGGTGGAGAGGGAGCACTAGGAAGAAGTCTGGCTAAGGTCTACCAGTAGCAGGGAGCAGCATGCCACTCAAGTTCTCCTTCCCTCCTTGGTCCAGTAAAGTCCAATGTGTTCTCTGTCCCCATCCCACTTCCTTGTGTCATCTGGAGTGAGAGACTTAGAGCCTCCTCTCACTGCTAGTTTGCTACCACTTCTCCTTTGTGTGCACCAGGTGCTGTGTGGGTAAGTTATTGTTATATTGTGCTCCTGTGATAAATGGACATTTATGAGATACTTTTTGCCCTGTGTGTACTAGGGGAGAGGGAGGGAGTCTTGCCTGAGTGACTTCACACAGAAAGTTCCAGAGGTGCACAGAGTTGATAGCCTAGGGCTGGCATGCAGGTTTTTCAATTGGCATGAAAGGGTGTCAATCACGATGAACCTGCCAATCAGCTCTAAACTAGGTATCTGTAAGTGATTAGCCTTCTTTGTTAAACAGAACACTCAGTCCTCCAAGGACTAAACAAAGAATGGCTGAGAAAAGACAGTTCTTAGGAAGGCAGGAACAGGCCTGCCAATGTCACTAATGGAGCTCTTCAGTTTCACCCTCCTCCACAGGCCTTGTCTCCATTCCTTCCATCTAGGCCAGTCCTAGGTCCTTTCAATTCTACCTCTTTCATTTTATTCCCATGTGCAATTCTTCCCTCCAACCCCGCTGATGCTGTGTTTGTTCAGCCTTCAAGGCCTCTGACCTGGACTCAACCCATCTTCCTGCTTCCAGTCTTGCCCCCTTCCAATCTAGTCTCTTCCATACTGCAGCCAAAACAGTCTTCTGAAAATACAAATCTGATCATGGCATCTCCTCCTGAAAACCTTTCAACTTCTTCGGTGTCTTCAGGTACCCTTAGGATAAAATCCAAACTACTTAGCAAGGTGCACAGGGCCCTTCATGATTTGGCTCTTGTGAAAACCTCAGCCTCTTTTTAGGCAGTGTTCCCACTTCACACCTAGTCACACCTAAACTTCACACCTAAACTAATTTGTAGGTTTCTAAACATGCCTTTCTTGGCTTTGCTTCTGAGCCCTTACACATGACTTTCCTCCTCCTGGGATACCCTTCACACACCACTTTCTCTGTTTTCTCTCTAGCCAGTATCCACTCATTCCTTACCATTTCAACTAACCTCTCCTAGTCCCAAGATTCACATTATACTCATGCCTATATCATTGATACCTAGTATAGCACATGGAACACAAGACATTCTCAATAGACATTTGCCAAAAAAAAAAAAAAATGGCCAATGACCAAACTCAAGTGACTGTACACAGAATCACCTCTGGGGAAAGATGACAGTGTTGACTGGGCCCTCTCTCTATGAAAGGGAGACCTCTCCTGGGTATGCTCTTATTGTACTGGGCTATAATCCCTTCTTTGATATGTCCACTTCCCTAATTCAACTGTGAGCACTTCAAGGGCAAGGCTATGTCTGGACCACTGCAGTGTTCTACTTGGGCCCAACATAGTGCTTAAATATAATGAATATGCCTCCAAACGTCTGCCAGTTTCATCCTTTGTTTTATCTTCCATCACTTTGCCTCCAGACTCCAAAATATCACACCCACAAACATATGAGGCTGCTTCCTATCCCTGAAAGTTTTCACTCTCATTTCTTTTATCTGGAATGCCCTTCCCACTCACCCACCCAAATTCTGCTACTTCTTTAGGAACCATCTCCAATTCTTCCTCGCTCCCCAGGAAGTTTTCAAAGCACCTTCTGAAGTTTACCTTGAAGCAATGGTAACAGTTTCCACCCATCTCATGCAATCCTTGGCATCTTCTCATGTTACCAAGAGTCAGAAAGGGGAAGGGTTGTTTCAGGGCACACAGCACAGTCAGTTTTAGAAGTGTTCCTTTAATCCAAGTCTATCTATAAATTCCATTAGTTAATATATGTCTGATTTCCTCATTCCCACTGTAATTTCCTTTCATTTCTCTCCATTTTTCTAGGGCCTTCTGGAACTGTAGGCATGTCTGGGGCCAGACTCCCTGAGTTTCTATCTTAGGCAATTTTAACCATACTAAACCTCAGCTTCCTCTTATGCAAATGAAGATAACACTAGTACCAATCTCGTAAGAGTGTTAAGATTAGAAGAATAATGCATATTAAGAGCCACTGCAGTATATAGATCGTTGTATGCAAGCGCAATAAGGCTATTTTCTTTATTATGATGATGATTAGTAACGAATCCCTGCGGGCAGTAGTGAGTTAAAAACTACAAGGAGAGTGTTACAGGGGAAAGAGGGAGTGAAGAAAGAAAGTGGCCCACATGATCAGTCTGAGATTTTTTTGTGGAGTCCAAATGAGGTTAGTAGCGTGGCAGGACATTCGTTAAGTCCGAGCTCCTAGTGCCATGTGACTCCTTGAGCCCCAAGCACATGGTTCCATCCGGCGCAGCTTCCCTAACTCTCTTGCTCAGCTATTCTCGGCAGCCTGTAGGGGGAGCCAGGAAGCTAGGACCGGGGTTGGGGGGAGGCTGCTGGAAATCTTTCTAAGGGCAAAAACGACACCCCACCACTACTAACCTTCTAAGTCCACTGCCTAGCCTTCTTCGGGACGCTCTCTCTCCTAGCTCAGTCCTCTTTGCAGCTAAAAACGGGGAGCTGTCCTTCAGCACCAGGGGCCGCTTTGGCCTCGGGCAGGACAGTGAGGGCTACCGCAGAGTTAGGGACTCTGGACTGGTCCGATCGGCAGCCGGCTCCAGCGTCTCCTAGTAATGGGGACCGGGGAAGGCGACCCAGGGAGGTAGCAAGACGCTAGAAGATGCCTCCAGCCTCTGAGGATCACCCTCAGAAGTCCCCTAGCCCTGGGGCGGGGGGAGCGAGGGGCGGTCCTGCGAGGGAGGCGGCCGCCGGCTGGGTGGGGGAGGGGGAGCGCCGGGCCTGGGACTCTGCGTGTGGCGTGTGCACGCGGGGAGCGGGGCGGATGAACGGAGGCGCTGAAGTGAATGGAGTTGGGGGTGGACTGGAAACATCCCCAAACAGCACAGGCTGCGGCCGACGGGGGCTGGGGTTGGGGAGGGGGGAGTCCTGAGGCGCAGGCGCAGTCGGGGCCCCAGTCCCGCTCCCTCCTCCTCCCGGTGCCTCTTTCTCCGCCCCGCTCCCCCCCAAACACACTCGCACACGGGCTCTCAAGGTGTTCTCCGCACAGCGGAAGATGGCGACAGACTGAGGGGGCATGGCCAGCAGGAGCCACGGGGCCGTGCCTCTGGGCGGCCGCCACAGCGGTGTGAAGGAGAGGCGGAAGCGAGAGGCGCACTAAGTAGAGACCGGCGTCCGTGTCCGGCGTCTGGGGCGCTGCGGGGAGCCAGGTGGCCCGCCCGAGCCGGAACTCCCGGAGCCGCGGGTGCCGAGACAGAGCAGATCCCGCCCGGGACCGGCCCCGGCGCACAGCAGGAGCGCGAGCGAAGCCCGAAGGGCCAGCAGCGGACCGGCCAGCTGGCCTAGGAGGGCGCGAGCGACGCAGGGAGCGGCACCGAGCGGGCAGCGGGCAGACGGGCGGGAGGAGCGGCGCGGGCGAGGGGAGCGGAGTGGA